AAAAAAATCTTGCCTAGTGACGAATTCGCCCCTTGATATGGTCGTTACTTAAAGGAAAACAGGAATCTATAAGCTTATCCAGGCAAAAAGCTACCTACGTACCGAATTTTAAGCAAATCGGACCATAATAAGATTTTTTGGAATAGACCGGTCCCTGGTCCCCCTACCCGAAAAAAGTAACTTTTTTTTAGCCTAAAACATGGTGGTTACCGAAAGCTATTTATATACAAAATTTAATGAAAATCGGACCAGCCGTTCGCGAGATTACCTGTTACAAAGAAAGGGGACTTCTCTTTATATAATTACATAGTATAGATGTCCACCAAAATATTTCGGAAAAATATTAAAATTTACGTGAGCTGGACCGATTTGAAAATACCTCTAAAAATGTAGTTTTTTATGGATAAAAATAGTTTCTTAAAGCTTTTTTTTTGAAAACATCCCCTCAAATGACACAACGGTGTAAGCTTAAAAAATTTGCATAAAAACATTTAAAAAAAAAATTTAACGGAATCATAATGATGAGATTTTTGATGCTGTTTTTTTAATTTTTTTCTAAGATTGGTATAAGAAAAACTTTAATAACTGAACCTAAACTCTTCCGATTTAGACTTGTGAAGTATCATTGGAAAGGTATTTTCTCACCCTTTTTATTTCCTTGCTAACAAACTCATTCAAAGGATTAAAAAAAATTGAGTCACGAATGACTTTTTTTGCACAGAAATAAAAATAGTGGGAAAATACCTTTCTACTGAGATCCCACAAGTCCAAATTGGAATAGTTTTGGCCCAGTTGTTCAAGTTTTTTGTGAATCAAACTTTGAAAAAAGTAAAAAAAACCGCATCAAAAATCTCATTCTTACTATTCCGTTGAGAAGATTTTTAAATATTTTTATGCAGATTTTTTAAGCTTAATCTGTTTTGTCATCTGAGGGGACTTTTTTCAAAAAGTTCTTAGTTTTTTATTCATAAAAAACTCCATTTTTGGAGGTATTTTCAAATCGGTCCAGCTCACTTAAATCTTAATATTTTTCCGAAATATTTTGATGGACGTCTTAAAATATAAATTTATTTATTTTGTATTCCCGGCGGAAAAACCGCAACTTTTTTTGGTGATGCAGTCTAATGTACATATTTATGTGTGCGAATGAAATTTTTTAGAAAACTTCCAAAATGTTCAGGCTGCCGCAGCTTTGGCATTGCCGACCAAGGAGCGACCGAGTGATCGAATCGGCTGCGGCGGTCTGGCCATTTTGGTCGACGACACTAATATAAGCTCTGAAGGCCCTGATTAATGGAAGTGTAACTTACCTTAGGTACATCAACTTTTACCTACCATTTTTCACTGGCAGTCCAGAAGCAACCATGTATGAGTCCCCAATGGTCTCCACTTTATAAACGTCATAGCACTCGATGCGTTCATCAAAAACGCGATAAATTGAATTGAGGAAAGTAACCACCTGGAAGTTTTGAACGTAAATGCGGAAATACATAAAATACATTTATGACATAGGACATCTGACCAAACAGGTTGCTGTAGATCAAAGCGGATCGTAAAATTTGGAATGTTTCAAAAGTTTCATAAAAATGTTAAGGCCTCGCTTTTTTATTGAAAATATATGGCTTCCAACTTTTATCCAATTTTTAACAAAATTTTTAAAGCTATTTTTCTTATTGAAACACACAATTCCAAATTGTTCGTTTGCTTTTGAAAACAGTAACGAATGGCGATTTGAGATGCAAATACGTAGGTATACAAGTTTATAATGCTAAGGACCAGCAAATATTCAGACTTCAGTCAAACGAAGGCTTTCGACCTATAGTATACGCCTCACTGCTCTCTTGGATTCATCAGGCAAAAGATAAATCCAAAAGAGCTTTCTCAATACCTGAAGTCTATCAAATAGTGACTAAATAGCATTGATAAAGCTTTCAACAACATTCTCCCAGTGGCTAATATGAATTCCCTACCGCAAGTAGGAATTTCGGAACCTCTGCTTCGTAAAAATGCTACATTTGCGTAAATGGCGGGAGCATCAGCTACCAAATACGTGAAAGAGGCACATCGCATGTCGGTCCTCTCTCCTCATTCCTAGGACGCAGGCCGTGCGCTGCTAGGCCCGGGAGCATGGGCATCACTTAGCCCTTTTATGGCAGTTGATAAATACCCTCAAGTCTGCCTTAGATATTGGCGGACCATGGTCGGATCCGGAGTGTACTCGTCGTCAATTCAATAAGAAACTGTTATGGCTTTCTTCAAAAAAAAAAGAAGCAAACTACAGTTCCAACTCCCTTTGCTGAAATACGTTACGTTGACTCTAGCGGACGAAGTTAGATACCTGGGAACAAGACTGCAATGTAAATACAAAACTTCTGCTTTTTTTCATAAGCAACGAAGAGAAAATAATATGTAAATACAAATTTGCCATTGAAAACATCCGGCATTAAAAAAAAAATTGTCATTAAGTTTATTTCCACATGGGATTTTTTTTAAATGGCATACATTTTTTGTAATTTCAATGCCTAGTGGAAATTCGGCATTAAAAGGGAACTTTGAAGGGCGAACAATTAAAGTCATCACTGCCCTACATGCTGGCACGTCTGTCTACCACGGGTAAAATATTAAAGCATACAATAAGGTGACGCATATGCAAACTACAGTATTCCCAGCTTAATTGACCCCCGGTTAATTAGTTTCCCCCCTTAATTCATTATCCGGTTAATTGAACCAAAAATTGTGCAAGAGGTCCAGCCAGTTTATCTGATGGTTTGATAAAAGCCGCCTATGATGGGAAGAATGTGCGAGTCAAAACTACGACGAAAGCTTATCAAATGCACGATTTCGAAACGGTGTTTTTTTTTGTTATTCTTCGTTTCCGTGTTTTAGCTAAAACATTTGCTGGTACCAAGTGTAGGGCAAACAACTACCTCGAGTGGTGTACATCTTGCAGCTATCCCCGTGAAGCCTACAATATCACTAAAATAAACCGTTACAGCTTCATACATCTCCGCGGGTACCTGTTTTTTTTTTTTTTACATAAATGTATGTATGAAACAAAGTACATTTAGAAAAAGTTACTTTTATTAAATCGGGCAATGTACATTAAAGTGGGACCACAAATGTATGTAAATAAAATAAGGTCGCATTTTTAATGCCGCCAGCCCCTAGGAAAAGTTTAGAAAAAGTTACTTTTATTAAATCGGGCAATGTACATTAAAGTGGGACCACAAATGTATGTAAATAAAATAAGGTCGCATTTTTAATGCCGCCAGCCCCTAGGATTGTTCTATACCAAAAAAAATTATACCCCTATTTTTTTATTTTGAAATAAAAAAAATTAGGGTGTGCTCAAAGCGCTCAAAGTTGTCAATGTATTTTATATGGGGAAAAAAGAACTTTTCGTAGAAATAGTGTAGAATTCTTGAAAATCAATATTTTGCTTATCTTCAGGAGATTCCCGGTAATAATACCCAATTGTTCCTTTAACAATTTTTTCATGGTGACTATATTTTATGGGTCGTTGAAAATGCAATGGGGGACCAATAAAAATTCTTTAATCATAAAAAATGGTTAAATAAACAATTGGATATCAATATTTGAAATCTCCTGAAGAGAACCATAGTTTTACGATTGAAAAATATTGATTTTCAAGAGTTTTATGCCATTTTTACGAAAATTTGTTTTTTACCCATATAAAATACATGGAAAACTTTGAGCAAATATTTTTTGATTTCAAAATAAAAAAATAGGGGTATATTTATTTTCGGTTCAGAACAATCCTAGGGGGTGGCGGCATTAAAATTCCGACTTTATTATTTTGGACCACTCTAATGTACATACATATGTACAGTATAATGTTGATAGGATATCGTGTGTACTTATAATGGTATGAAATCTATTGAATTAAACTAATTCACTTCAGTTATGTGTGCATTTACGTATTACTTACCTGTTGGGTTTGCTTCAGCTGCATTGCCACACTCGGCGGTAACATTTGGAAAAGTAACGAATCACTTTTGCGTTTCTCTCTTTTTAGTTCCCTGGCTTTTTGGGCTAAATTCACCGCATACAGCTTTCCAATCGTAATCGTGAAAGTATGAAAAAATTAAATAAATGAAAGCATATAGTACTATTAGCTATGTATATATGTATGTATGTAGCTGCCTGTAGGTATTTACCTGTATTGTAGCGGCAGCATTCTTAACCAAAATAATGATGATTGGAGAAACGCATAGAACAACGACCAAGATGCCAATGCCAACCACCTCCTTATTCGCAGCCTCAGAAAGGGTCCTATCGACATATTCTCTGCGCGGACATTTTTAGTAGTAGATTGGAAAATTAGTTTATATGTATCACATATGTATGTACATATATGTATGTATATGAATGTTCAATCACAAGGGGGAAAAAATGTATGCAGTACAGGTTTAGCCAGTGTGTCAAATCAAAAGATAAAGAACAAAAGTATGTGGATTTTTCGGGTCAATGGGTCCGGTAAAATCAGATTTAACGACTCGAGAGATTACTGTCAATGGACCAATTTGAAAATCTCTAGAGATGAAACGTTAGGCGAAGTTGAAAAATAAACCGATTTTTTTTTTATAGAGTTTCGCTTAGTTTCATTTTCGGGGCTATAATGTTTTCTAATATGAGTACTTTACCGTCACTTTTCCAACTTACTTAATCTTCAACCGCAGAGCTTTTTGAAGTATCCGTAAATCATCGGTAAAGTTGTGCATAGCGTCGTAATATTGTATGGCGTTTCGTTCATCAGACACATTTCGAATATTTTTCAAAACATTTACATTCCTGTAAAATAATGAAACAAGTATTTACATCTATGTACATTAGACTGTCCCAAAAATATATGGAAACAATTTTTTTTGCAAATGTTTGGGAGTATATTAATACCCTCTTATAAAGAAGTAAAATTAGTAAATTAACAAAAGACGCGAACTGCACAAAGCTTATTCTGATAACTTTGACCGCAAGTCGGCACGGGTTGCCATGGTCCGAATTGCATAAAATTTTTGTCGGATAGTTTTTAATACAAAATCAATAAAATGAGGGGGTATGCGTTAAAAAAAAAAAACACTTTGGTTTTTTTGGACAGTCTACTGTACATATGTACGTATGTAAATGTCTGTACGGTGGCGAAAATATAAATAGGGAAGAGAAATTTTTAGCATTCTTTGGCCATTTCCCTTTCGTTTGATTAATGTTTATTATTTATTTATGAAGTTTTGTGTCCATCCAATTTTCGTACAATAAAGTGCAGTGCAAAGTTTATGTAGCAAGGACTTACCGTTGATTTTAGCTATTTTGTTTGTGGAAGGTATGGAAGAAAATGAGTGAACAAAAAAAAAATTCAACAAAAAAATTCAAAGAAATTGAATTGAAAAATTTTAAATTTTGATGAACATTTTCGCTCATTTACTTCAGTAGTGCCAGAATCCAAAAAATGTAAATTTTGAGTTGAGTATGCAGTTGTGTACAAATTTCATAGTTGTATCGATTACCAATATCTCACTAGAACAAAATATGTATTTTTGTTTGCTATTGCAGTATATGAAAATGAAAAATTTTGAAATCGTTTTTCTAATGTTTCGCTTTTATGAGTGCGTCATAGTGTGTGAAGTAAATGAAGGATTTGTCAAATTCCTCGAATTTTTATAATTGTTCTACGGCAAAAAGCAAAAAAGGCACATTCTCTGCCCTTTGAAGCTTGATCAGGGAAGATGGTTTCTTAAAACCACAAAATATTAAGACACACAACGTCCAGAAGGCAAAAACATGCCCTTTTACAGGGCTGCGTGTAACATCAAACACATTTTGCACCATTTTTTGGAAAATACGAAATCGCCATTAGATAATAAGCTATTTTTGCATATGCATACATATAAGAAAAATAACCAAAACTTGCCAAAACGTCTCTTCCCTATTTACATTCTCGCCACCGTATGCATGTATGTATACTAGGGTGGTCCAAAAACTGTAAAGTGGGAATTGTTATGCTCTCAACCCCTAGGATTGTTCAATATCGAAAAAAGTATACGCCTATTTATTTTATTTTGAAATCAGAAGATATTTAGGGGTCGCTCAACGCACTCAAAGTTTTCCATGCATTTGTATATGGGAAAATAACAACTTTTCGTTGGAAAAGGGTAGAATTCTTGAAAATCAAAATTTTTTTTATATCGGAAAACTCTGATTCTCTTCAGGAGACTTTCAATAATAATACCCGATTGCTTATTTAATTATTTTTTAATACTAACGATTTTTTATCGGTCCCCCCATTGCATATTTCGGGGTTTTTGACGGACCTATAAATTATAGTTGCGATGAAAAAGTGGTTAAATAAACAATTGGGTATTATTATTTCGATTTTACTTACCCCCCCCCCCCCCCCCCCGCCCACATGCATTTTTGGACCACCCTAATGTATACACATATTTCTGCTTATGAGCGCTAAGTGCCGCCGCCAATATACTCACATTGCTTTTAGTTTTTTGTATTTATGAGTCCTAGTTATATTCATGTACATCGGCCTCAAACTGGGCACATAATTCAATGTAGAGTTGATGAGTTCGCGAGATAGAAATTCGTAGCGAATGTAGGAAACAAACGCGTCCAAGCCCAAATATCCACGTCCATAGTATTTGATTCCAAAAGAGGCGGCAATGTTTTGACACTCAATACTCTTTAAAAGATTTTTGAAACCAATGAGATAGCTATACCAATGAGATTGTATATAAAGGAGTTTATTTAACATCGCCCTAATGCAAAAATAATATTCAGTTTCAGTACCGCCAAACGCCACTGTTATCCGTTTCTTTTATTTGCTCGGTTAGGTGGTGCAAGAGAGCTCGGTTAATGGCAGTATACCAATTCATAACATCCGTTATTGAGCTGTCTTCTGGCTCTGATCTCACACGATCTCTAAGCAGCATGCAATTTGTACGAATGTATACCAAAACAGTAAGTAACTCCTTAATGTGAGTGAGTTTTTTGTGGACGCCTGGACGGCTGGATTCTGTAACCGCAACCGTTTTCAAGAGTACACTGCAAATTGTGTACACTCTTCATTTTGCCATTTAGGAAGTGTGTGAGAATGAGTTATAGCTGTCAAAATTGGGTACACTTCGCTTCCAAGAAACTCACTGAATTTTATTCGGCGAGTTTTTGGTTGTGAGTTTTGCACTCAGTGTACGATACACTGCAATTTCTCACAGTTATAGAATCCAGCCGCTTGGCAGAGGCTAACAAAATAACCCAGTAGGACCTGTATATAACGTGAAAGTATTTTAAGCGCCGAGCGCTTAAAAGCGGATTGTACGATTAATCAATTAATTAATATGAGTTATAATAAATTTATTAATGGCGCAGTTCTATAGGGAAATGTGTTAATGCGAATAATTTTTAAACGTAAGAATATTTTTAAAGAAAATTATCTGTACATCACTATCATATAAGTGATTTGTGTTATTTATTAATACCCTGTAGGCACTGTATTCGTTTTTGGTTTTAAAAACTATGTTATAACCAGATATCATTTTTAAAATAAAAGATTTTTTAAGCCGATTTCATGAAATTTATAAAAAAAATTGAGATTTTTGGCGATTTTTTTTAGAAATGGTTCTTTTCTTTTTAAACAATCATGACACCCTGGTAACATCAAACATATTTTGCACCGTAGAGGGCCCGCCTTTTTTTTGGAAAAACGAAATCACCATTAATGTTTGCTTAAGTATATCACTACTACTTACACACAGCGGTTTTCTATAAATACTAATTTTTCGTAGCGCTATTTTCGAATCTAGGCATTTATTTTTTAATATTAAAAAAAAAAATGTAAATGCCATAATCATGTTTTTTTAAGGTAAAAAGCCAAAAAAGGGAATTATCTTAAAAAGGCAACATCAAATGTGTATATATCAGGGAATCAGGGAAAGCTAAATAGTGGACATTCTTAATCATTCCGTTCCCTGATGACAAGTATAAACAGAAATTCTGCATCATTGGCTCAAATATTTAGGGAGGTACGGCGATATTTTATGAAATGAAAACTACCTGAATTCATTCAAACGATTTTGAAACTCTGTACGGTTAAGCATTACTTCAAAATCTTCGTCATCATCCGCCAATGTGGGCACACTAACTTCGTTCCAAGTTGTTAGGTTATTCAATGCGTTATCGGTTACAGTGAACCTTTGCGTTAAATTTGACCTGAAATTAAGGATGAATTTAAACTGCAATAAATATATACGAGTACATAAATGGTTATTTTTCTTAAAAACTGTTTCATAAAACTTTAAGCCAACTCAAATAAAATTAGAGTTCAACAACATCAATTGAAATCAATTTTACTAGTGAACTTTATCAGGCCGTGGGTTTGGCAACTTTTGGTCTCACGGACTCATTTTTAACCAAGGAATGAAACCGGTTTCGGTTTCGGTTTTTGTTTCGTTCTTAAAATTTAGCTTCATTTCCTTTTCGATTTCGGGTTTGAAATAAAAATATAAAAACATGTTTAACAAAAAAGATTATTTGCTAAATAAATACATATATGTGGTCATAAGCAATAATCGCCCAAGTCCAAAAATCTGAATTAGAGAAAAAACGCTTTAAAGATTTGGATTGTAATGTTAACCTTATGGGGAAAGCAAAATATTTTCATCTATATAACTTTTTAAATAGCCTAGGTAACGAAACGGGAGTTTCACATAAACATGGAATAGTAGTTGTAGAAATCGATAGCATATATAGATAACTCAATTCTTTCTTAAGTCGACCTAGACGGTTATTGTTTAGGACCGCAGATATGTGCTTTCTAAGGTTTTCTAAAATTTGTTTGCGACATTAAGGGCACACAAGTCGGAGGAAGAAGTTCCGGTTAAGGACAACGACAGCTTTATCGATCACAGCATGACGTGATTTTCGAGATGTCGTTATCACAATCCCAGGATTTAGATATTCATTACTTTTCAACAACTTAAATCGAAAAAATTGCTTCTATCTCTCCTACCATAAAATATATAATAAATAAATGGGTTTGAAACCTACTTTTCGATTTAAAGTGGCGTTTTTATTTTTCCTCTTTGACGTCAGGATTTATTTTAAAGCACTTTGTAATTTCAAAGATATGATTACTTCCAAAAATTATTTAAAAATTTCCAGGCAATGTAGAATAAAAATTGGTACCCACCAAATGAAAGAGAGAAACTAAAAACGCAATTATACTATATTTGGCCCATGGTTTCGCGAATTCATTGATATTTGTGTTTAAAATTTATTATCGCGCGGTGTTATATGTATAATTAGCTAGACATTTATGAAAAAAAAAAAATATTGATTACACTGGATCACAAATTTTAATTTGGTTTTTGTTCTCCAAACGCCACTATTCAACTCCTATGTAGAATTGCTCGGTGATTCTGAAAATCGAGTTAATTTTTTTTGTCCATGGATACATTTTCGAGATATTTGCAATTTACCGTTATTCAGCTTAAAGAAAAAATTAATTCCTTTTTATCACTTATATCTTGCGAACAAATTTAAAAATCTTAATATAAAATACGGCAAAGGAAAGCCAATGAAATTCTCTATAAACCGTATATATGTACATCACTTTCCGATAGGGCTTATATAGCTTTTTTAGATGCCAAAGCGAAGGGCAATTTGGTCGCATTTCGAAGGTAAAATTGAAGAAAAGAAAATGAAATATTTCCATAAGCAATTGTCATGGAAATTTGAATCGCCATATGAAAGCCAAACATCCTTTCGTGATTTTGGAGAAAGACGAGTAAATGAAGACGACTGAATCGTGTCGTTATTGAAGAGGACCACCGACATTTAGACAAGATTTCTTTTTTACTTTTCAGGATAATTCAATCTTTTAGATATGTGTTATAAACAGGGAACGGATTTTTGGACCTAAAAACCTTTAAAAAAGGCAAAATCAAATAACGCAATAGGCTAGAAAAGGCAAAATAAAATAGCGAAATAGGCAGGAAAAGGCACTAGAAATCGCAAAAAAGGCAAAAAAAAAAAAACAAAAAAAAAACGTTACAATAATCAAAATATACATTTATTTTAGAAAGGTTTATTTTGCAAGTAAAAAGAGAAAAACAATGAACTACATAGTTTCATTATATGAAAAATGTGTACTTAAAATCTTTGACTATTTTCTCTTTTCTAGTTTTTAACTCACAAAACTTTAATCTCTATAGTTGTAGCAACATTGAACCACAAGATGCATTTCGAATTTTCTGGCAACATTTTTATTCGATTTTCGCGAAGAAAAGCCTTGAATATATATACTAAACGTGCACTGACATGAGTTGATACAAGTGGACCCCAATTTAAATATGGAACGTTTAAAACTTTCATATTATCAGAAGTAAGGGATTTTTCCTTGCCCTTTATAATTGAGAGTTAGAGCCAATTTACACGATGACTTTCACCCATCGAGGGGCTTTTTGACGTTTCGCTTTTATCGAGTTCACTTTTTCGTATTTTTGCTTTGAGTTCGCGATTCGCTCCGCTTTAAAATTGAGGACGAAAGAGTTGACCAAAGAAAATTTGACGCTTAAATGTCAAAAATACGCAAGAAACGCCGCAACGAAAAAGTCATCGTGTAAATGCACGAGGATTTTCGAAGACTTTTTTTTAAAAGGGAACGTGCCAAAAACGCAGGGTGAAAAGTCGTCGTGTAAATTGGCTCTTAGAAAAAGCAACAAAGGCAAATGTCTTAAAAAAAGGCAAAAAAGGAGACATCAAATGTGAATGTACGGAATCAGAGAAAGCTAAATCGTGGACATTGGTAATCGGATAAAAAGGCAATTTCCATAAAATCCGTTCCCTGGTTATAAAACCTACATTTTTGTTATTCTGTAACTCAGCCCGTACTACCAAAGTACCAGTTTAATTAGGCGAACTATAGTTCAATAAGATGAACGAATGATGAAGACTCAGAAGAGCTAGTCCAATGAACTGAACGAACTAGAAGTGAACTAAAAATTCCAACTCTACTTTCACCTGTCCACTTTTACACGGCGATGCCATTGGTAGTGGCAATCGTCGCCCAGTGCATTACTTTGCAACTCGTTTTTAACCAGTTCCGTTTTGGATAGTTGTAAAGTAGTTCTATCTTGTATAGATCAAAGATACATTGTTCAAAAGTGGATAGTTTCAAGCTAGATTTTAAACAATAACTTCTTTTATAAGAAAACGTTTTTAAGATTCGAGTTTTGGATTTTTTGTTTGTGTTTTTCTTTTTTTATAGATTCCATTTTTGTTACATATTTAAAAAAAAAATTTTGTAGGCGGTACGCAAAAACTTAAATTTATTAAATCTGAAAACTCACATCACAACAGCCTTCGCCGCGATTTGAGCTCGCGACCAACGATGTTTGACTGCGGAGGTCTTCTCGCTGAGACACTTTGTACGAGAAGTGAGAATTTGTACATTTCCCTGCAGGGAACCGGCGAACTAGTGAATCAAATTTCTAGTTCCGAACTACATCTTTATCGCCAAAAACGAACTAGCCGGAAAGTAAATCGGAAATGTGGCACATACTTTTAAAAAAAACAATTTTAATGAATTTTGGCAAGCAGTAAGTGTGATCGACTTAAAAAGGTTTCGATTTCGTTAGTTTCAAGGTCAAAATAACGGTTACGGTTTCGGTTTTGAAAAACGAAATAGTTTCGGTGTCATTCCTTGTTTGTAACTACTTAATTCCTATGCATGTATGCTGTTTAATAAATTTTGGTAAATATAAATTATACTCACCGTTCTCTACTGCCATTTGTGAAAATATAAAAGGACACTTCCGATCGCTCAAGTTGCAGACGAGTAACAACTTTTCCCAAGTTTGTAGCTATTGTTACCTATATTCATATTTTTTTTTTTGGAAAACAGAATGTTATACTATATTTATATGTATCCTTTTCATAAAGTATAAGCATGTATGTATGTACATAAGTATATAATATTTACGGGTATTTATGGTAAGTTTCAAATGTCATCTGATATATATTGCGAAAATCCAAAGGATAAACGGAAAAGAAATTTGTCTGGGTCAATGTAGTTAGTATACATAAACACATACATAGTTTTACCTTTAAATGTTTTTGGTGGTATATATGTACTATGTAGTATGTTTATTGCTACCTTAAAATGAGTACGTTTATGTACAACCATGTACCACACCTTACAAAAAAAAAATAGTTCGCAATACACCCCTGGTCTAAAGTATTTTGTGCAAGGGAATTTCGACAAACAATTCGGCAACAGATTTTTTTAAGTTCTGCTGGATTAATCGAAATACTTCCTTAGGAAAGTTAATCAGACCCCTACGTTTTTTTTCGAAATTTCCTGGCACAAAAACTCTAGACTCAGGAGTGTACGAAGAATTTTTTTCTGGTACGGTATAATACGCCCATCGTACATAACATACGATATAATACACACATCATAATGTACACAAAAAAAACCCTTTCTAAACTTTGGTTTATTTACATACAAATGGCGTTACGTAATTAAAAAATAATAATAAATCATCGAAAATTTAATACAAATAAAAAAAATATAGTTTAAATACGTAATTTTTAAGCAAAAAACAAAACCAACTTCAATTCTCATATAAAAATTTTACGAGCACCGTTAATTATTTCATGATCCAATGATCGGATCTAAACCAGATTAGTATGGGACCACCTCTGAGACACTACCTTTCCGATGCAAAAGGAAAGTTATGCGGTAACATACATAAAAAAATATATACTCCGACGAATTGATAACCTCCTCCTTTTTTTTTGAAGTCGGTTAAAAACTAAAACTCGCTTTCCATAATTTCGTAATTCGTACTGTCATCAGGAATGTAACTTGACAATCGAAATCGCTGCGTCTTTTAGACGCATCAATATTACATAGTTACATCCCGAGCTAATAAAAGTGAGGTTAAAAAAATGAGTTTGGCGAAGCGAATGAAAATAACACAGATACAACGAAACGAACCGCGAAAATGCATCAGTGATGATACCTAAAATTTAATTTCGCCGCATTTTGGCGAATGCATGTTCGCTTCGCTACTAATAATACAAAACGATACATTCGTGTGAAGATTCATGCGCTTTGCAACTCACCCGAAAATATTTTTGTTTAAAATTTCTATCAAATAACTTTTCTTAATCGTGCTAAATCAAATGAAACCGTGTAAAAACGAAATATTTGCTTTGATAAGCCGTGTTAAATCAAAACCGTGTAAAAACAGAATTAGGTTGTATACAAGCAAAAAATACAACCGACTACAATACACATAGAAAATTTTGGGAGTAGGTACCGTTAATTTCTTCATGACCCAATGGGCGGAACTAAACCAAATTGTAATGGGACCACACTTGAGGTACCACCTTTCCGAAAAAAAAACAATCGAAAACGGTTCAAGTGGTCCAAAATACATACATACATACATACATACTTATATACAAGTATATGTACCCATGCACTTATCCCGGTGTGGCCCTTACAGGTTCTACGAGTATTGTCTGCCTGATAATTTATTGTCTAAATATTTGATTATTCAATGAATCCCAGGTTTTAATACAGTACTTTGCGACAGGCGTGCGGAATTACATACATATGTATGTATATACGTACGTACAGACTTAGATACATAGCTAATGCTTATTGGTTATTCACCTTAAACGCTTTCAGCATATATATATGTATATACATATGTACATGTACATATTAAGGATGTTACGAATATTTGCATTCGCTTTCGGTTAAAAATTCGCATCGAATGCGAATCTTCAACAAGTTCGGCTCAAAGTCCTATAAGCAGCCTAGAATGAATTTTATATTCCTCGAGCAAAAGCGAAGGGTCTGTTGTGGAATCTGAGGACATTGAAAATGTGAAATTAATACTCAATTGCAGGCCTATCTTAAAGCAAAACGAGGCTCTCTCGCCGCGTATGGGGTTTACGCAGTTACTATGCATTTGCGCGTTTAGATGAATACCCATACTGTACATATGTATATGTAGGTGTAACCCTGGTTCAATGTTTTAATAAGTTTTTATATTCCAATTGTAATTTATAAAAATTGTAAGTAATAAAAAACGTTGACTTAAGTTGGTTATGGCTTTTTTAGTTGTGTTCCTAAACATTCGGAATTCGCATTCACATTCTGAAAATTCGCATTCGCGTTCGCATTGTGAATGTGAAATATATGACATTCGTAACATCCCTGGTACTTATTTATGTAGATGTGTATGCATACAAAAGTAGCTGGCGGGTTTTAATAAGTATTTATTGGTCTATTATTCTCTGTGCATTTTTAATGAAGATAAGCGGCTATGCAGAGGTATTGTTTCAGGGGATAATCTGACTGCGACATTCTGATTGACACATTTATGGAATATAGCGGCTACCAACCAAGCTCTAAGCATTCACGATGCTAGAGTTAGTGTAGCTCTGCAAGGCGCCGGGT